TCCCGTACAGGCCTGATTTTTTTCAGGTCTGATTTTCGCTATTGCTTAAATAGCGCTATCTACTGCGAGGATCGTGCATCATATGTATCTAATACCGCAGTACAAAATATATGAACTTCATATATTTCATTGTATCTCATTTATCACTTTCACGGGTTTATTACGAATCAACTTAACGGCCTGCTCCCAGTTGGCTTGTTAGCTCAATTGGTAGAGCGCTGCACTAGTATCGCAGAGGTCAGTGGTTCGAGTCCCGTACAGGCCTGATTTTTTTCAGGTCTGATTTTCGCTATTGCTTAAATAGCGCTATCTACTGCGAGGATCGTGCATCATATGTATCTAATACCGCAGTACAAAATATGTGAACTTCATATATTTTATTGTATCTCATGAATCTACATAGTTGAACGCACTGAGATTGGCAGACTTATGACAATTAAGTAGATAGGAAAGGAGCAGAGAAACCTTTCCGTCTGGTCCAAACGTGTTGATCAGTCGACGGGATACATTGCTGACACCAATCTGTTGGGTCTGGATCATCTTTGGCAAAGCAGTGACCTCTGATCAGACATGCATCTTGCTATATGAGAGCAAAAACATGATATTTGAAGTGAAATCTACTCAAGATAAAGTAACTTTCATAATTGCGTTTTCCTAGATATAGGTACGCGATATGAAACGAGAAAAAAAATCAATGAATTGAGAAAAAAAAATATATACACATATTAGACACTTCTGTAAGCATTTGAGCCAAAAACTTTTGTTAAAATTTGATTATGGAGCTCGCTGCCCTTAGCTTGAAAATCTTGATAAGAAGAGTCTATTTGGAGTGCCGGATAATAATTTACGTTTACTTTTTATCACACCTTAAGAGAACATCCACGTGAAATGTTACATGCTTGGCACACTGAGTCAAAGGTTATCATTTTAAGCTCACGACTTGGATGCTCGCCATCATTAGAGACAGACACGATGTAACCTGCCGCTGGTGTTCCTTCAAGAGGATAGCCGCCCAAATTGACAGGAGAGCTGGGAAGATGACACTCCATCGCAAACAAGTCCGTTTTGCTACCATTAAACGTTTGTGTCCCGTTTGACGGAATCCAGTTACTTGATATGACCTATTAACACATTAACAGATTAATTCGTCGATGGGAGTGGTTTGCGGACCTCGAGATTTCTGAGGCAATGTTGTCTTGTGGAGGGGGACACAAGGCAGGAGTCGAGAGTAAAGGGGGCGGGAGAGGGCAGAAAGATAACACTATATAAGGGTGGGAAGCGGGAGGAGAAATTGGAAAGAAATTCGTTTGTTGTTTATTACTGCTTAACACCCGGTCAAAAACCCGTATCCAGCAAAGGATTTTGACTACCATTTAACGACCACCGAGGCATACTCGCGTGAAAACGTAAATTTGTACTCAACATAAATGCCGTTGAAATTGGATACCTCTATAAGTCATGAGTGAGACGAAAGAAAACATCTACACATTTATCAGTGTCTTGCAAGCTGTAGCAGTCGAATCATTCGGCGAACAAAGTGAGTCAGGTCGACAGTGCGTCAAAGTCTATGTTTATCAGCCTCACAATTTTTCAGTGCGGCAACAAAAATTCAATCCATAGAAGCCCTTTTTTGAAATCAGACAATTACATAGCTGAATCGTCCCAATATGTAAATGTATCAGAGGATGTACGTACAACTCATAAACTTTTCAGCAAAAGTCTAAAGAAGATTTTAACTTTCTGAAAAAATAGTTTGAAATATGATAACCAGCCGCTGAACAACAATATACAACAATTCTCCGCCAGCGCTTAAATCGGACGTTCAAAAATGCAAATGATTCAACAATTAGTGCATTATGATATCAATAACTCGCTGAAGGTAGCTTTTAATAGCTCACGAATATAGCTACTACCGATAAAGAAGGAAAATTAAACTTAATTTAAAATTAAACTTAATTTAGAATTAAAATCAATTTAAAATTAAAATTAATTTAAAATTAAAATTAATTTAAAATTAAAATTAATTTAAAATTAAAATTAATTTCTGGATTAGATCCCTATTTATATAAATGCATGTAAATACATATTTGAAACTGCAATGGCTGTTATATTGCACAGTGGATTGAGACGGTCTCTATAATGAGATGTCAAAAGCGATGGTCAAACTGTGATAACCAGGTACGTGAAAACTTAGTGAAGACTGACCAGTGATGATGTTCATGTTGAGAAAACTACCTACCCTCCCCTCCTAAAACTGCAAGGCCAGAGAAGGTTCAAGAAAGTTACATTTTGCCACAGCCTGCAAGTTCAGCCCAGGTTTGTGATACTTTTTTTATTAACCTGAAGACGGGTGCACTCTGCAACCAAGGGTGATAGTCGGGAAGCAAAGGGTCTCAAAAGTACGGGAGGGAAGTGGGAGGCTGTGACCCCCCTCCCCTCCCCCCCGCAACGTCTTCGTAATCGGCGAGAATTTTAGTGCGCATATAAGAAACTTTCGTGAAGTTCTAAGTTAAGTTTCGCACCGTGATACGCTTCTACCGATCACACCATTAGTTCAGGGAAAATTTAAAAATCAAGTCAAGCTTTTCTAGCTTCACAGAGGGGTTGCCATGTAAAAGTGCCTTTTTTCTTTCCTCTTCTCTAGGGAAATAACTTTTACTGCATCGGTGTTTCAGGTTACTGCGACAAGTCGCAATTCAGGTTTAAAGCTAATGATACAATTTGTGATAGCTAAACTTAAGTAAAAGTACAGTGAGTTAAATTTCGTTTACTCGATTCACTGGTTTTGTTGTCCTAGAATAAGCAAACTAGTATCTCTGTCCTATTTACCTAGAAAACATAAAAAGGATGAAATATAATTTCACCTTGAACTCTTTGACGTGGCATGTCAAATTTTCTGAGCTTAAGAAGTATTGTCCAAAAACAATGGTTCTCAAGCATGGCCTAACACGGATATTGCAAAGGCCCTCATCCAATAACCTGAAAGTTGAAGAAAAGTTAACAAGGCCTTTCATAATTACTCCATTTGTTTTTTGTTTGTTTTGATTTGGTTTTGGAGTTCTTCTTTTTTGTCATAACACTGTTTCGTTACCACAGGGATAAGGATCACTAGAGAACGTACTTGGTAACATACCTAAGGAAAAGCAGTGATTTCAAACATTAGGAGAGCATAAAAAAGGAAGTCGATTACTTTTTAAATATTTTATGACGGCATCATCAGTTCTTTTCTCAAGACTCATTTTCCGAGTTTCCTTTGCATTATGCATAACATTTTTCTCTGCCTGTCTAACCTTTTAGATATAGTCAGCCAACGAGAATTAAAAGAGCAGCATTTGTCTATTTTAGNGTGAGTTAAATTTCGTTTACTCGATTCACTGGTTTTGTTGTCCTAGAATAAGCAAACTAGTATCTCTGTCCTATTTACCTAGAAAACATAAAAAGGATGAAATATAATTTCACCTTGAACTCTTTGACGTGGCATGTCAAATTTTCTGAGCTTAAAAAGTATTGTCCAAAAACAATGGTTCTCAAGCATGGCCTAACACGGATATTGCAAAGGCCCTCATCCAATAACCTGAAAGTTGAAGAAAAGTTAACAAGGCCTTTCATAATTACTCCATTTGTTTTTTGTTTCTTTTGATTTGGTTTTGGAGTTCTTTTTTTTTTTTTGTCATAACACTGTTTCGTTACCATGGGGATAAGGATCACTAGAGAACGTACTTGATAACATACCTAAGGAAAAGCGGTGATTTCAAACATTAGGAGAGCATAAAAAAGAAAGTCGATTACTTTTTAAATATTTTATGACGGCATCATCAGTTCTTTTCTCAAGACTCATTTTCCGAGTTTCCTTTGCATTATGCATAACATTTTTCTCTGCCTGTCTAACCTTTTAGATATAGTCAGCCAACGAGAATTAAAAGAGCAGCATTTGTCTATTTTAGAACTTGTTTCAGAGATTAGTAATTACGACATAAATTCCGGCATTACCTGAACAATTGCGGAATTTCATCGAATCTCATAGAGCAGTCGGCAGAGACATATCCTTCGTCACAAACACAAGTACCGTTTGTGCAGTTTCCTTGGAAGCTGCAGTCGTTTGGACACAGCAGCTGAGTTACCTTCGCTGGAGGCACAAGATTTCCACTTTCATCTTTTTCGTAGGCACTGTAATTTTTGACAGCTTGGAATTGACAAGATGACTTCAAAGATTCAAAGGCACTCTCCACCCAGAAAACGTCACCTGTGATCTATACAAAGATACAATTGAACATATTACAAAAGTGCAGTAAAGATTTCGTTCGTTGTGTCACGAACGTGAGGCAAAAAATAAAATTGTGTCTCTATTTCAGTGACTTGTCGAATTATACCACTATCCATTCTAAAAATTTAGCGCTTTCCTTATTATCATAACTCAAACGAATGATTAACCAACATGATAGGAAATATACTCCAAAACTGAAATTTACCTGCAGGTCTGCGGCACATTGTGCGATTGCATTGCTAACGTTGACATTTGAAAGTTCCAAGCAAACCTGGGCAGCTTTTGTGCTTAAAAGAGACTTTGTACAATACTCAGTTGCATTTTCCAAAGACAACTTAACGTTTACGTTACGTTTTTTACGAGGTGGCAGAGATTGAAGGTCAGGCTCAATATCGTCGTAAAAGTAAATAACATCGTCCGTATAGGTGTTCCCTCTCTTTCCGTTTTGGTTTATTTTCCCTTGGGGAACTGGCACTAGAGCTGGATTTTCATTCACGGTTTGAGGTTGCGCAACATCTTGTTCGCAATCAATCTGCATTACGTTAGTGTCTTTGTTAAGTTTGCACGTACAAAAGTCCATATCGAAGACAGAGCCATCGCACGTTGGATCATTGCAATTTGGTACTTTATGAAAAAGACTTTCTGATCTATTCACTCTACGGATAAACAATAACGGAAATTATTAAGAAATGGTGTGGTTCTAAATATATCTTTAGTAAGTCGGAGTTTCCCGTAACTGTTTGGAGCTTAGACCTTCTGCAATTAGCCTACTAGATGGTTTAACGACATATAACTCGTTGCCGTACCGTAGACTATACAGTCGAACCTCGATTATCCGGACCTCGATTATCCGGACTTTTTTCTCTGGTCCCAATTTTTCATGAATATTAATTAGTTGTGATCTTGAAAACTCAGAGTTGCAAAAAGCCCACTAATCCTTTCAAAAGACTGTTAAAACAGCGTATTATCCTGTGCGCTTTTCAAAATTCGCAAGTGCGACGAGACAAAGAAATATTCTGATGCGTTATTTGTTAATACATACAGGCTGTGTAGCTAGCACAATTAAAATGATGTTTTCTTTGCTGTCTACCTTTTTTTACATTTCTATCTTATTAATATTCATATTTTCGTTTATCCGGACTCTCGATTATCCGGACTATTTACAGAGGTCCCGACGTGTCCGGATAATGGAGGTTCGACTGTACTTAGGAAGGTCATTTGAGAAAAGGAAAGACCGTCAATAGATCCTTTAACCCCAGAAAAACGTCAATTATCTGCACAGTTTGTCGAAGATTTTCTTTCTTTTCGTCACCTTTTTTATTAAACATCTACCGATGTTGTAGGGAGAAACGTTTTTTTTTTTTTTTGTTATCACTGATGGGAGTGAAAAGGCCAAATGCTTAATGCTGATAAAAAATAGAAAGAAAAAAAGGAATTCTTTTTGTTTTAGGGTTTATTCTTAACGATAATGAATAATTGTGGATCTTGTCTTAGTAAATGTTAATTTTTTTTATGAGATTCTTCTCACTATTGATGTTCGTAATGATGAAAACGGCAATATTTTTTCAGCGACATTTTGTGATGACGACGCATTTTGTATTAACGTACGCATTTTGTTAAAAATGGTTGCGGCATCCTGTAATAACTTGCGCATTTTGATATAGGTGTAACAACATTTTTTGATAAAAGCGACCTGTCGTGATCACAAAGTGTCGCAAACAAATGTCAATAATTCTTTGGAACGATTTCCATATAGCCCCATACATAATTATGCATTCCATTTTATAAAGACTTAATATAAAGGTTTCTTTGCAACACTCTTTGCACAATTAATGTATGGAGTTATATGGAAATCTTACCTAATCTTTTGTGGTCAACTGAGACGTATGTAAAAAATCTATATAAAATTTCATGAAAGTTTATAGGCACAAAATACCTACCTCCAACTTTGTCCAAAGGAGTCTGCATCATTGTGCATTGTTTTATCACCGCCGAGAAAGTCGTCATCGGGATTTTTGTTAAAATTTCCACACATGCCTTTTGTTTTACCACGATCAGCCTGGGGCGCTTGCAGATAAACATTATTTCCCCAGTAGTTATGCTGTACTCTCACTATTGTTCCGGATGGAAGTCTCACCTTAAGAAAAATGAACTGCTCTTAACAAACTCTCCAGCAGCTGGTGTCACGAGAAATTATTACGATACCGAGCCTACCAGAGTTCTGAACAATATCGTTCCTTTTTCGCGTGAAACTAGGCTTTCCGAACGACTTTAAACATAACTCGCGTAAAGCGCGTGCTCTGATTGATCAATTCAGTGTTTACTATTTGCCCTTGAGTGTACTAGTTGGTTGAGTTTGTTCGATATCACTTGTAAATCAACCAAAAGTTCATTTCTTTTTTTTTGTTAGTTTATGTTTGGAAACCTCTACTTTTGCACTCTGTGATAATTTAATTGCTGATATATTTGTTTTCATGTCATGAGCATAGAGCAGTATTTTTGTTTTCTGTCAGTGTTTGGCAAATTCTTGGGAAGTAACTTCCGTGCATATGTTGTGCTGCAAAGCATAATCTCACTCATTCTCTGCCCTTATTCGTTCGATTTCCGATACTACCAACTCGTGTTTAAATGCCATACGGAAATACTTAGCTTTTTTCTTTAAGAGAATTTCCTCTATGTAACTTATAACATAATGAGCAAGTCCTTACCTCGTACTCACTATAGCCCCCTGGATGGCGGCCAAGTATATGTGTTCCTTTTCGCAGTTTCCTTTGACTCGGAATTCGTATCTTCATCGGCATTCCATTCCGCTGAACTAAATCTTGAGTGCATGTGTATAAGATAATAACGTCATTGTGTTCTCTGATGGCAACACCGCAGTTACAAGTCACGCTCCAGCAGGTCCATAGGCGGGTATGTATCTACGATAAAAAATGTTGATTTATTGAAGTTATTCATTATCCAAAATGCGCAAAGGTTCTCTTTCTGCAATCATGTAGCCGAAATAAATGTAGCATGCTCTTCGCCAATTTAAATTAATTCTTCATGTTGGCTCCATAAGTTACTGCAGGCGTTCTTGCAATGGTCTTCATAGTATTTTTTTTGTTTATAATAGTATTTTGTTTTTGTTTCAGTAGCGAATGGTGAATCATTGACCTAGCAAAATGCATATGTTAAACTTTGTTCTAGTAGATCTAGTGTTCCAAACAAATTAGAATTTTTTTTTTATCCTAGAATAGCAATGAACTATCATTTCTTAGTAAAAAAAAGAAAAAAAGAAGTGAGAGGCTCTGAAAGACGTTTCCTCTTTTGTCCAAAATCACGCGCAATTTTATACATTTCAATTATTCTGGATTGAGCTGGGGGAGTTGATTGAGATACTTTTAAAGTAGGGGGATACTTATGAGCAGGAAGAAGAAGGAACGAAACTAGTAATGATCCTTAAGACTCGCAAAAGCTCCTAATAAAGAAAAAAAAATGTTCATAGATTGGATCCATTCGCGTGCCCGGTTCCAGATCATTAAAAATATGCTGAAAGTTGTTACAAGCATTTCTGAATACTCTCAACTGAACTTGCTTAAACTTTTTTATTTCCACCAGGAAAAAAAAAGAAGACCTCACCTCAAAGAATCTTTCTAAATTGCGGTATAAGACATAATCACCAGGCCTGTAGAAGTCGTAGTACCTGTAAAATGTTATAATAGTTCTGTCTTTGTGAGCGTCTTCACTCTCACTGTTTCTTCAACTCCCCAGATTACTATCGTGAGTGTTTATCCTGACAAAAATTGCTGTTGCGTTCCTTTATCTATTCATAGACCATCCCTCACCCAACCATAGCCCTCTTTTTCTTTTGCTCTAGTTCTTTTTTTTTTCTTACTGTAACAACCATATCATTCTATGCTCAGTTCAGTCGACAAACTTTAGTAGTACCAAAAAACAGTAAAACAGAGTGAAAAAAAGATGAAAATAATGATGACAGCCACACCGGGACAATCGCAGTTTTCCAATTCAGCCTGAAATAACTCCACTTGCAGAGCTCGTTACAGGCATATTGCTATAAATATGTACTTATGATAATAATAATAATAATAATAATAACAATATCAATAATAATAATATCTAACGGTCGGCTTAATTCTTGACTAATGGGACAGTTCAGTTCTCTTATAAGAAACGGGAAAACTAGTATTCTTAATGAAATTCAAAACTAAAATTGAAAGTAGCTGAGCAGAACACACTCTAAGCTTAGGACCGTTTAAAGCTCCAAATAGATCAGGTGATTGAAAATGGAATTGTTAAATAATTCGAAGAGCCAAGACAACATACTTTCCATCAAATGTAGTGTAGTGTGGGTCGCCAGTGGCTTGACAGAGGTTTACAGGAGTCTCAATCTTCGTCAACTGAAAATATTGATGGAGAAAATGGTTAATATGTACGCGTTTGACAAAGATGATTTGGGATGCAAATATTTCCTTCCAAAGAGATACTATATGAAATTGTAGAATTGTAGCAGAACCTCCTTTAATATGATGTGGTTAGCAGTGTTGCTACTACTCCTACTAGTCCAATCTCAGTTCCTGAGTTCCTGGTACGCATTCCTATTCTTCCTAAAAGCGAAGCGCAGGGTCTGTGTCTGTCGCCATAGTTTCCAACACAGATACCCTCTAACGATCTATCGATTTGGAACCAATGATGAAAGCGTAGTCTTTGTATTTTTCTAAGTCAACATATATTCCGCTCTACTTTTTTGTATCGAGCACTGTAACACGGAACAATGGAAACGTAGACTTCCTATATATTTATATAAATATATTCTGCATCTCGAAACAGATAATTTCCCCCGACAAATGTCAGTGCACTTTTTCACTCCAAATGGATGCCGTTGTTCATGTATGAATGATAAAAAAAGGAAACAAAAAGCCACTTGGATCAGTTTTGGAGACTTTGAGTTAAAAAAAGGATTGAATACATAAACGTACCACAACACTAGGAAGGACGTAAGGATTCCAGAATTCGTGGAGGTCTGTGACTGAAAATGTAAAGGCAGCTTTCTTGGCTGGTTTATCGATGTTGTCACACTTAACTTGCACAGAAACATTAGTCCACTTGTTAACATCGTCTTGTTTCAAATCAATCTTACAGTTTGATGAAAGATATTCTCCATCTCCGGATTCACCAAATGTAAGCTGTATCTTATCTTCGTTGAAGGCATTGCGGATAGGGATGGTCGGTCGAAGCTGAAAGGTATACCTATTGGTGTTTTGCATGTCGCATTCTTCTATATCCAGTTGTCTTGGCCTGATCTGCAATGCGATTCATATCACCAAGATTAAAATTTTAATCAAGATAATAATTATAATGATTATAATCATAATTTTCGGAAAAAAAATTCTATTTTACTCATCATCACTTATTAGGAATAAAAGGAGCTCACCTCAATCC